AAGGTAAAAAAACCATAGTATCTTAAAAGGTACTTCCTAGCTGGCTTCTGAGGGAGGGGAAAGTTAAAATAGCTTCCTGCACATGGCAATGTGAGGAACTAATAAATAAATCCCAGAAACCGTTCAACCTCCTTTTAGCCATGAGTTTCAGCTACTAGAGATGCATGGGTTTTTGTGGGTTATTCATCTCCTCACTCTGCGGAAGAGGAGGTAAAATGTAAAGTCTAAAACATGATTAGCAGAACCTACAGGGACACCAACAATATGCAAACCTGCATGATAACTGGCCCCTAAATAACAGCTATTTTAGTGCAAATAACTTTGAGGAAAGGAACCTCCCCTGACAGCACACATTTACCATTGTCTATTCGAAATAAATTTGAAAACATAGTTCTCTCAATACTACGACACTCCTCTAATACACACTACAGGAAGTGTTGAGAATGTCTCTTCAAACCTCCTAAAAAGACCATGCAAATCATAAGGTAACCTCTCTAATAAAACGTTCATAATCAGAACTATCTTATTTGGGTTGTCAAATTTCATGAACTATACAAGTAGAAAAAATATAGCCTAGGGCCATCTTAACTGTAACTTCAGCAGGAGGTGCTGGGCCCCAAACAGTGGGGCACCCAAAGACTAGCTAGATGAAACACTTCATGCAACTGATGATATGAAGCTGTAGCCCTGGAACTAGAACTTCAGATCCCTTTAATCTGCAAACCCTTATAGCATTTTGGTGGGACAAGGGTTTCAAATCCAAGTAACGTCAGGGAAACTATCCTTCAATCATGGAACAGTGTTTCAAGAGCCAGAGAGATTCCTTGCTCTCTTAACTGTTGATGGAGTTTCCCCACATTCCTTGGAGATAGAGGAAGATACACCTTACTACAGCTGAGTATTAATAATCCAACTGACTTGGAAAAAATGTAAACATTCCTTAGAAGGAAAAGTGTTAACTGGACATTTCCTACACCTGTTAATTAAATTAGCTTTGGTCATGGAATTAATTCCCTCCTCACTTTTGCCTCATAAAGGAATCCTTTTCCTTCAAGAAACAGCTTAAGCACCACCTTTTACATGAAGACTTTCCTGATCCCTGCAATGGCTAATGCCCTCCCTCTTACAATGCCTTTTATCTAACTACTCAGTATTTACTTCTACTCATTCTCTGTATACTTATACTCGTCCTTCTTTTCTCATGCTCCTGATGAGTAGGAATTGTTTCATTCTTGGTATTCTGATGCCCAGAAACTAGCACAGCATCCAGCACACAGTAGGTATTTAATACATGCTTGCTGATTGATTTGGCCAACTAATGGATCAAACAAAAAATTTAGCAGCATTAAGAAGTTATATTCATACAGGATTTTAAAGTGGTTTGAAATATATTATCAATTATGATAAAGTAAATTACACAGTGAGGCAGCCAGGTGGCACAGTAGATCATGTTGTACTATAGCATCAGGAAGACCTGAGCTCAAATCCTTACTCAGATACATGTGCTCTCTCAGCCTCAGTTTCCTCATCTGTAAAACTGGAATAATAGTACCTACCTCACAGGGCTGTTCTAAGAATCAAATGAAAAGGGGCAGCTAGGTGGCACGGTGGATAGAGCTCTGGCCCTGGAGTCAAGAGGACCTCAGTTCACATCTAGTCTCAGACCAGACACTTGACACTTGCTAGCTGTGTGACCCTGGGTAAGTCACTTACCCCCAATTGCCTCTCAAAAACAAATCATGAGTTACCATATGTAAATCAAAGCTTTCAAACCTGAAAGCATTATATAAATACTAGCTATTATTGTATTACCAAGGATAAGATCAACCAACCATTTATTAAGCTGTGTGCCAGGCACTGTGCTAGGCATTGGAGATACCAAAACAAAATTAAACGGTCCCTGTCCTTATGGAACTTGTGTTCTATAGGTGGAACTAGCATGTATAAATCTAAGTACATACAAAATAAACACAAAGTAATCAAGGGAAAGATACTAGCCAGCTGGATGGACGGGCTCAAGAAAGGCACCTCAGGTATAGTGTGGTGTGAGGAATGATTTTGGTATAGTTTCATTTTGTGACAGCAACGGTCATTTGTCTGTGCTTCTACTGACAGTAGACTGACTCAGAATGGCTGACCTTGACCAGATGAACCCGGATTGGGCTGGTTTCCCCATCTTTAGTTCTCTGTCAGTGGAGTGCTGGATCTCTTGCACGTTGTTTCATTGCTCTCTTTTATTCTGTAGTTTTTAAGAACGGATATTACTCCAAGAAAACCTACAAAAGTCATTGCTCTTAAAGAGCTCACTTCAATGACTATGAGAAATATTGCAGCAGCTCTTGGTGTCAGGGAATCAAAAATTTCAAGGATCATTCAAGCCCATAATGAAACAAGCTCAGTCCCACCAAGGCACAAAAGTGCTTTTCAAAGTGCAGATGAAAACCAAAAATGTTGCCAAGTGGCTAACTATTCCTGTAAAACAGCCTAATTAATGTTCAGCAAATGATCAATGACCTTCAGAGGGACCTGGCAGGTGGAGGGGCTGTTACTCATTCCTCTACAGTGAGGTACAGGCTTCCTGAAATTGGGAAGAACAGCAAAAAACAGGTAACTTGCTATGAAGAAGAAATGCTTGTCATGGGCAAGACAACATAAGGACTAGAGTACTGAAGACTGTAAAAAGGTTACTTTTGCTGATGATTAACATTTTCAATCAAGGCTATATAAAACCATTGTCACTAAGAATCCAGGTTATTCTGTAAGATCTCGGCATCTTCAGACTATAAACCATCTACCCCAAAAAACGTTTTGAGGATTTTGTTTTTCCTTCCATTGGGCCTAGAAGGCTTATCCCCATTAAGGGAAGGACAAACTCTGATAAATGTACTGATATACTGAAGAGCCAAACTATTTGGAATTATAGAAATTCAGAAATGGAGATGGAATACTGCAATACACTGTATCACATAAAGTTAAGAAATACATCTAAGAGATGGAGATAAACATGTTGCTACGAAATGGGAACTCACTTGTCTTAAACCCCAATGAAAAATTATAGGCTATCATCAAGGCCAGACTCGAAAAAATGGATTGTCTCCTCAAATATGTTTAATATCCAATGTGATAAGTGTAGTTTCATGATGAAGAATTAAAGAATGTCAAAATCATGTAACTGCATTGCCAAAGTGACTTAAAAAAGGACAGACTGCATATTAAGTTTTTTAAAAGATATAAAAAATTGTAAGCCAAAAAACTTATTTATTTTGTCCCAAGTAATTGCCACACTGAAAGATAGGCCTTAAACTGAGATTTAAAGGAAACTAGGGATTCTAAGAGGCAGAGGTAAGAAGGAAATATATTTTAGGGATGAGGAACAGTCTGTGCAAGGCATGGGTGGGAATGTTCTATGTAAGGAACAGCCAAGAAGGCCAGTACATGAAATGAAGTAATATATATATATATATATATACACATATATATATAATAAGACTGGAAAGGTATCTAAACCTAATATCAGATTTTAAGCAGCCATAAATAAAACTTTAAATAATCAATTAGAATACCAAAAGAGAGAACCCTGAGGCACTTACTTAAATCATGTAACATGCAACATACCCTAAAAACTCAGTCCCCAGTATTTAGGCTTAAATATAGCAAAGATCTGGACATTTGTGTATATGCCAACAGCCCAAGTTATTAAGGTTAATACATCTCTAGACAATCTTTTCTCGGCAAAGAAAAGTCACTCGGCTTTTTAGTCAAAAAGCTAAGGGCCCCTTGGGCCAATGTAAGGGATTCTGATATGAGTCAACTTGAAGACAAGGGCAAAGGTGCTACAATGCTTATGCCCTGTTACAAGCCATTCAGCCCAACAGCCTGATTTAAATTGTGCCCATGAAAATCTACACTTCCACTTTTTTGCTTTGGGTACGACAGAGAGAAGGCTATACATGTGCCCAATGCATGTACCCATGTAGCTCTATGCCTTCATCTTCAAAGGAAGAAAAAATATAAAGCACCAAAGCATGACATAATACCACTTAGACAAATACATTCATTTTAAAGTAAATGTACTTGGAGATATCCTAATGTTTCTTGTACCCTGAATGCAGTTTATGGCAAAATGGTAGCACTTCGGGGTTGAAAGAGACTTAGAAGCCACCTAATCCAACTCACATCTAATCAAGAATCTCTTTTATAACATCTCCAAAAAGTGATGATCTAGCCTTTGCTTGAAGACATCCAGTAGAGGAGTCCACTATCTCTGGAGGTAGCCCATTCCCCTCTTGGATAGCTTCTGTACTTGGTTCTTGGCCTTGGAAGCCAAACAGGCCAATGTTAATCCCTCAGTTACATGAATACTATCTTCTATTTTATACTAAATCTATTCTAAATCTGGGCTTCCCAGCCAGACTAGAAGCTCAAAGAGGACAAGAGATTTACATAATGTCTTTGTTTCTCCAAAGCACCTAGAACACTAGTGGGATTCGGTAACTCTCAGTGAGTGCCTTGCCCTACAGGCCTTTGGTGTGATTGAGGGTATCAGCTGTTCCTCCCTTTCAGGAAGTCACCTCATTGGTCCCCCTGCCTCCAAGAACCCAGCTTGAGCTGAAACTCTATCCAAAAACTCTATAGCAGGGGAATCTATACTCTCTCTCCATGAGAGAGCTGGCAAATTCATTGGGGGAAGAGAGGGTTTCTCAAATGTAGACACACAGGCTCATAGAGTCAGTGTCTTTTAACTTTTCAGACAAGAAAAAAACTTTCAATGTCAACCTTCTTTGAGGTCAGGTTTTTGCTTAAGACCTAATAGCATTCAGCAATTCCGAGAAAAAATAAGCCTCTTAGAAAAGGAAAGAGGCATTAATACAAGGGACTATGACTTAATGAAAAAAAAATGCACCTGACAAGATTCAGAGACAAAAGTCACTCTAAGCAAATGGTCTAACCCAGCCCTTCCCACCATTATATTGAGCCAGACTTGGCCTATCAATCCTTACCTTGCTAACATTGAGAGAAGCTAGGGGAGGAGGGGTTTCTGTGCGGTCATTAATTATTTCAATTTCCGAGACAAACTGTAGATTTATAAGCAGGATGTCTGCATGGTTAGGCTTTCCACTGGAAGAGGGACATTCTAGAGAGAATAAAGTTAAGAAAAACAAGCAGGCAGAGGCATTAACAAATCCTGATGGGACTGGAAAACATGATTCAAGGAAGGCTCAAGGAAAATCCACACCAAAAGCAAGTGGCGAAGAGGCCTCACAAGAAACACAGTAAGGAGTAAGGAATCCCAAAACCTCATTCTTCCCCTGTTTCACCCCCAAAACTAAAGGATTTCAGGCTCTACAAACAGGATCAAATTTGGGATCCCTGAAATGTTATCATCACTTTTCTCTTGCTAGTTTTTTGCATAGAACTTCAATGTAATTTTAATGCAATAAGGGTCTTTAAACTATAAGATGCCACACCTTACAGTTTCTATTCCAATAGTTTCTAGCATAATAATCATTGTGTTTATAAAGTACTTTTTAATTTTTGCAAGGTACTTTCTCATCATCTCATTTCTTATTTCATCAACGGGTTGTTGAAGATGAAAGGGAGATATCATTCCCACCCTGAAGATGAGCAATTGGCCTGTCCAACGTAATCCCAAAAGCTCATTCATTCACTTAACAAGAATTCATTAGGCATCTATTGCATAGGTACGGAGATTACAAAAGAAAAAGTCATTTACAGTGGTATACTTGAGACTAGAGCTACTACCATCAATCAGTCAGACTTTCATCCCAAGAATCCTTTGACTAATTTTACAAGTCCTATTCTGCAGATGGCAGTACCTCATCTAGAAAAAGTAACTATTGAAAATAGTCTCAAAAATCACTTTTCTATGCTTGAACTGTGAAACAAGTGGTTATCTCAATTGTTATTTGGAATTCAAACATCTGCCACTCCAGACCAGCAGGCTCAGTTAGACTCAGTGTGCACTTTCACTCTGTAAGATATCAAAAAATGATCACTGAAACAACTGTAGAGGGAACCACTTGTGAGAAAAAATAAATTCCCATACCTTAAACAAACTAGACATTTTAGATGTGAACAGATGGCACAGTGGGTGGTGTGCCAGGCTTGGGGTCAGGACATTCATATCCTAACTCAGTTACTTACTAGGTATGTAACTGAATAAGTCACTTAAACCTCTTCAGCCTCAGTTTGTTCAGCTGTGAAATGGGGCTAACAGGACTTACCTCACAAAGCTGTTGTGAGGATCAAATAAAATATCTGTAAAGCACTTACAAATTTCAAATCACTATATACTACTGTTATTATTCCCACCCCACAAAGAGGCTCTTTCCCAATTTAACATGTCTACTTGTTATCAGCACCCCTGCCCCCAGAATCAAACTTTGTATTCTTTGCCTGGGACTCAATGAGTACATCCCCAATTTAGCAACATCCAACAACACCCCCCCAAAGAAACAACACACAAAACAAGTCTCTTTCCAGCGATCTGATACAAACTTCATCCTCAGGGGACCCTTCCCTCAAAAAAGAGTACCAGCGATGGCCCCTAGTTCCATTTTCTGTGCCCTTGCCTCTTAACTTGAGCTCACACACACACACTCACTCACTCACTCTCTCTCACTCTCTCTCTCTCTCCCCCCTCTCCAAATTCAAGAGCCTCTTACCTTGGGTACAAGCTCGTCCCCCTAACCTACACACCCCCCTCCCCCACGTGACCACGTCCCCCTCTTTCATCTGGGGCTCGCAGACCCTACCTTAGAACCCCTCCCTTCCATCCACTACCCTTTCCTCAGTGACCCCTCCCCAGGGGATTCAGCCAGAACAGCCACCCGCGTGTCGAACCCCCTCCGCCCACCTCCCCTGCCTTCCTTCCTCCAGGCCCGGCTCCCGCGAGGGAACGGAGACCCCAATGGGGAGAGGAAGGGGGCGGCAGCAGGAGGGGAGGAAGGAACTAGGGTTGACCATGCGCATGCGTCCTTGGCGCCGCGGTGGCCGGTCGCCCCTTAGGCCCCGGACCTGGCCCGGCCCGGCCCGGCCCCAGCCCCAGCCTCTGCCGCCCCCCCCACCCGTGCCAGCCCGGCCTGGAGTCCCAGCCGACCCTTGATGAAAAGGATACTGAGGGCCAGCATCTTGGACTGGTAGTCAAAGGCTACCACCTCGCCCTGCAGCCGCTGCTCTTGGCACGTTCGGCATGAAACCTGGCTCCCAACGCTGAAGTACTCGCCCGGAGGAGCCGCCATCTTGGGAGAGCAGCGGCGGGCGGCGGGGCAGCGGCGAGGCCGGCCCCCTCAGTGCGCCGGCACGCACGCGCGGCGCGATGGCGTCAGCACATAGGGGGCGGGGCTACAGGACAAACTGGGAGGGCGGGGCTCCGAAGTGCCGAAGGAAAGAGAAAGAAGGGAGGAGGAGCAAGACAGCCTAGATGGGTTAGGGAGCGAGGGATCAAAACCCTGGCCCAAAAGAAATAAGGAGGTGCAAACCCAGGAAAGGAGTCCTGCCCTAAGTGAAATCCGACCCTATCCACTGAGCTGACGGTCTTCATCCATTTCTCCAGCCCTCCTCCCCACAAACACACAGCTTGCCTAAATTTAAGCTAGACCCTCCAATTCGGTTCAGCTTTATTTTGTTTTGAAGGGCTATTATTTGTTTTTTGTCTTGTTTTGTTTTTTTTCCCTAAAGAAATCTCAATCTGAGACACAGAGTTGTGTTTAAACTTCCCCCCAAAATAACTTTTACTGCACACATTTGCTCTCCTATCCTTTCACAAAGTGACAGGAAAAACAAGGATAAGGAAACAAAGGCTAAGGTTGAAATAATCCAATTAAATGAATAAGCTCCTTTAGGATAAACACTTTAAATTTTTAGCTTTTTAAGGCTAGGATCTAATATCTTGCACATAGCTGTTGAATTATTTAGTTAGAAGTGAACTGAATCAAGACCGTGGTGACTGTCATTTCCTCTCACTTCCTACAAATTTTGACATTTGGCCTCTTTTAGTCTAAAACTCCTATCTCAAGCTGATCCAATCCCAGGTCAAACACCAAGAAATCTAGAGGTATGGTCTGGGTGACAGGGATGGATTGGTCTTTATTGACCATGAATCTCTGATAAATTCATTTGGATCGGAGTCAACAGAGAAAATGACAGAAATAGAACATCACCCAGCCCTTAATATCAAAAAAGGAAGGAAAAGTATTGCTCTTGCCAAACAAGGGGCACAAACCTCCCTGCCCTCTGCAGCACCTTGTCGAAATCAAAAATGATACTACCTGATTATACAGAGTATCTTTTGTAGTCTTTTCATGTATATTACTTCATTTTATTCTCACCCCATCCTGGAAAAAAATAAATTTAAGAGGTTACAACAAATTAGTGGACCATATCATCTATTTGTGAGACTAGAAATCAGATATCCTAACCATGCCCATGTCAACATACCAGCACTCCAGCTACCCTTAAAATCTTTTTCACTATATAAATTAGCTTTTATCATTTCACAATGTAATATTTATTGGCGGGGTGATGGGACCTGGACTGTTTAAAAGGAAACAACCCAGTCCCTGAATTGTCCCATACATTTCAGCAGCCCATATCACAGGTGCCTCAGCCCAAGGCAACTGGCCCACCTCAGTCCACCTTAATTAGCTTAACAATCCTTTCACTCACTCTGGTCCCATCCCAGACTACTTAATACTCCTTTCACTATTGCACCTGGACCACCCCAAGACAATTTGCCACTCCTTAATCCCATCCAGATCCTTTAACCATCCTTTTTGTATATAAGCATCAGTCTCACTCCCATTAAGTTGCAGATTCACTAGGAACTCTGCCCACTTCTATAAGCCTTACAATACCGAAGCTTCTATTATCCTCACAAATAAACCTCTGATACTTTCACTGAAAGAAGTGGTCGAATTCTTTCCAGGCATAGTCATAGTACCCTTGCATTCTGGGGTTCCCAGCACTCCAAACTGCAACATTTATCACTTCACTTTATAATTGAGCTATCTTTACCATTTCACCATATAAATTTGCTATTTCTTCATTAAATGGAGTCCACTTTTCCATACTCATTTCTTCCTTTCCTCCCAACAAAAGTAACCAAGGACAAAAATATCTCAGGCTAGAAATGGCTTTAGGAACCCTCCCCTCCCCGTCAATGCCCTGTGGCCTAGACCTCATCAAAAACATGATAATTTCTGGTTTCCATAAATTCTTTTCTTGAATTACTCCAGATCCTAGTAGACTGTCCATCTCAGGGGTGGACACTGAACACGGCTTCACTCTCTCACCCACACATACTTATGTACAAAAACAACACTGTTGGATTCCCTGGATTACATGGCAGATAGACTTCAGGGGCATAAATTTTAGAATTTTAAAAATTAAACTCTCTCTTCCTCCCTCCCCAACCCCCCATCCCCTCAGGCAAGTCAAAACAAGGCAGTTGGAACACAGAAGTCTTCCAAAATAAGAATTCAATGTCTAACAGTGTTCCTGTACTGGGGTGTCCTATGAAGGCATATTTAAGCATCACCTTCCAATACTATTTATTACAATTCGGAATCAGGAGAAGGGAGGGGAGGGTCATTCCCTACAACAGGGTCAGTTAGAATGCAGTCCCCGGGAGAGAAAAAGAGTGTGTGCTTGTGTGTCTGTGTGTGTGAAAAACTGCTGTCCCCTTTCAAAACACACCTGGGATCCTATGGTTATGTCCTTGAACTTCCCTGTCCCTATCACCTGAAAAGACCACGGAGCTTTCTATCAATAAGGGAAGGCAGCAGAAAGGAAGCCCGATTTGGGAAAACTAGCTATCAGCCTCCTCAAGCAACATACTTCAAAGCCCCCCCGTTACCCTCTGACCCTGGACCTCAGAAGTAGCCACCGCCCCACGTCCGCTGCGGACCGGACGCGAACTGGGGACACGTGGGTCTAGGGGGAAACGCCCTCGCGAGCGGTTTGTCCCCTACGCTGAGCCGTAGAAGGAAGACCCAGCGAGAGGTACAAACCCGGGAGTGGGGCGTAAAAAAAAAAAGGTATTTGGAGGGCAAAGCTCGAGCTTGTGTACCTGGGGGAGGGGGCAGAACGGGGCCGGGGCCGGGAGGAAGAGAGAATTCAGTCTTGCTCGGACAGGGGGGGAGTCTGAGGAGCGCGCGCGTGGCTTGGAGGCGGAGTTTGGGGGTGCTCTGGAAACCGAGAGGCGGGGCCTTCCCGGGTAGAGCAGGGGCGAGGTTTGTGGAATGACGGACGTAGAGGGCGGGACCTGGAGGGAAGCTCAGCCGGGGGCGGGGCCTGGGAGCTGGAGGGCATGGGGGCGGGGTCTGGGGGGAAACGCTCAGGAGCAGGGGGCGGGGCCTGGGATGCTCAAAGTGCAGAGGGGGCGGAACTGAGAGCAGAGAGCTCAAGGTGCATGTCGGGCTGATACTAAGGGTGCCCTGGATAGGGTCAAATTAGCTATGGCAGTGGAAGGAAGTGGTGGGGACTGTGGGAGCACCTTCCTCTTACCCCTGGCCTCCCTCAGCTTCCTTCTCTTTAGAAGCAGCATTACTCCTGTCAAACCAAGGTCAAGGGCTCCAGGGCCTGTGGCTTCCTGGCATGGAGTCAACTCTGGGAGTGGGCATCGTGGTGGCCGAAACTCTACAGAGACAGCTGCCCTGGCTGGAAGACGTCTGGCTCTGGGTCACCTTCTTGGGTGACCCCAAATGCATCTTTTTTTTCTACTTCCCCTTGGCCTACTATGCCTGTCGCCATGTGGGCATTTCTGTGTTCTGGATTGCCTTGCTCTCGGAGTGGCTCAACCTCATCTCTAAGTGGTGAGACAAAACCCCTTACCATCCCTACTCCAAGGTCAGCAAGAATTTATTAAAGGCCAGCACTGTGCTAAGGGCTGAGGATACAAAGAAAAAAATGAAACAGTCCCTGCCCTCAGGGAGCTTATATTCTACTGAGGGAATCAGCATGTACATATATAAAATATGAAGTAAACCTAAATGCAGCTGGGTGATTAGAAGGAGGGTGGTTCCTTAAACATAAAGAGAGAAATTCAAAAGAGAAGTGAGATTGGTGAAATATAATGAGCTATCTTAATTTTATGTTGAGTTTTAGATCCCTGAAGACATCCAGTTAGATGTCTATCCACTGGATAGACACACACATAGAGACACACCAACTGTCACCCTACGTTAATCCCTAATTGTCACTCCTGAGGACATGCCAATAAACATACCCCATCATGGAAACATACCAATGGTCATCTCATACGCTGACCCCTCACATCACCCCCACATAGTCATCCTCATACCCAAGCCATAGATATTTAAACCGCAGTTGCCCCATACATACCCATAATCACTTCCTACCTCTTACCACTCAGTGTTACCCTTTGCTCTCAGTCACTGTGTGTTTCCATCCCACCCCCACAAGTAAGTACTTCCTAGACAAAGAGAAGGACCTCCTGAGTAGAGTTATTTCCCCTTCAGAGCCTTGCCTCCCTTCAACATGAAAACCCTAGGGATGAGGGACACAACCCCACAAAGGAGGTAAGTATCGCCATGAATGACATCCCAGAAATTCTCAGTAGGTGCTTTGTAAGGTCCTCTCCGTGCAATTTGCTTTTTCTGGTTTGATACAGGAGAGAGTTGATCTGCCTCTAACTGGACATTCAGCCTTCCCCTTCTGATCATCCCACAAAAGGATGCCACATGCCCAGCCTGGGAGAGAAGTAGAAGAGGCATTGAACAAAAATGTTCACCAGGAGACAAAGAAAGTTGAGAAAGAAGGACTGCCTGGCTCCTCTCTCTCTCTCTCTCTCTCTCTGCCTTTGTCAGTGTGAACCATTGCAGGAACAAGGAGGCAATCTTTTACTGAAAGTTTTAAGGAGGAAATGGTTATTTTCAGAGAGTTCCAGCCATTGGAATAGCCAATAGCCATTGGAAACTTTCCTTTTGGAGCTAGTCTTTATAGCACTTTAAGGTTTGCAAATACCCTCAAATACCCTGGCCTCCCTCCTCAACTCCCATGGTCTTCCTCACTCTCAGCCAGCCACCAGTGGTCATGCTGTCAATGTCACCTTCATCCCATGACTATACTACCTCCAGGTTCCAGAACACAGAAATTTCTCTTTCCCATTAATTAACAGTCTCCTTTTTTCCCCCCATCTCTTCCCCTGCTTTATTCCTCCTAAATTCTTCATTCTTCCTGTGACCCCCAGACTCTCCATTCCTGTCTGTTCCTCTCAGTTTATTACCTTTGATCTGGTCTCACTTTCTTCCTTTCACCATGGTTGATCAGATCAACTGCTTATTATTTTACCTTAGAATCTCTTGCCCTATTATCCTACTACTACTACTAATAGCTTACATTTACATATTGCTTTACACGTAGTATAAAGTGCAAAGCACTTTACAAATATTACCTCATTTTATCCTTACAACAACCTTTGGATGTAGGTGTTATTATTATCCCCATTTTGCAGTTGAGAAAAGAAAAGCCAAGAAAGGTTAAAACTTAATTGATTTCCTCGAGTCACATAGTTGGTAAGTGTTTGAGGCTGGATTTGAACTCAATTCTTCCAGACTCCAAGTCCAGCACTCCGTCTGCTGTACCTTCCTAGCTGCCATGCCTTGCTGAATCCTCATCCTATCTATACCTCCCTACCATCTTTCTTCTCTGTTCTTACTCCCATGCTGCTGAATGCTGTGGGAGAAAGTCACACAACCATGCCCATCAGGTCCACTATAAGCCTATATTATCTTAACTGGACCCTCACTGCTGCCTTTTTATTGGTCTGTGATTGACTACCATACTCTACATAGTGACTATCCTTAATATTCTCTTCTCTCTCTAAGTTACCTATTTTGTTGTTGAATCGTTTCAGTCGTGTCTGACCCCATTTAGAGTTTTCTTGGCAAAAATAACTGATACATTTCCTTTTCTGTCTCATTGTACAGATGAGGAACTGAAGCAAACAGGGTTAAGTAACTTGCCCAGGGTCACATAGCTAGTAAGTGTCTGAGGTCAAATTTTAACTTGGGAAGATGAGTCTTCCTAACTACAAGCCCCAGTGCTCTGTGCACTGCACCAAGTTACCTATAGCACCCCCTTTTCCTTCTCTTTCAGCAGGGGACCTCACCTCCTATTCTACTAAGAAAATGGAAGAAAATAGTCTCCATGCCACAAAACTCTCTGTCATCCTCTTTCATTCTCCCTTTGCTCTGTTCTCTGAGGAAGAAGTGGGAACTTTAGATAGAGCACTTTCTGTTGAGTGATGAGGTCAGAAACCAGATTGGAAAGGGTTGAGAAGTTTGGAAAGATCTCAGGGTCCCTACGAAAGGCACCGCCATTCCCCTACACAAAAAGAACAAGAGTGTACATTTTTCTATTTTTCCAGAGAAGAATTGAAGTACATGAAGTGTGAAAAAACTCGTGTCCTCTGCAGGTCGCATATAGGCAGTTGTAACTGAAGCAAAAATAGGATCTGGGGTGAGGGGGGTAGAATTACAGGGTACCCCTCATTTGAAGAGTGACTCTTCTGCAAGCTTTTGCCATCCTTCTTAGGCCCCGGGTAGGGGAGGAGCAGCAGAAATGGGAAATCTCATTGCCTCATCTCCTCCAGGTTCCTTTTTGGAGAGCGACCCTTTTGGTGGGTTCATGAATCTGGATACTATAATGAAGCACCCGCCCAAGTTCATCAGTTCCCTGTCTCCTGTGAAACTGGGCCAGGTAGGTGATCCTCCTACATTATCCCTTTCCCTTTCCAACCACATTGATGATCTCAAAGCCCTTTCCAGCCTGTGCAGGCTTGAGGGCCTTAACGCTTCTCTCTTAGTTATAAGAATAGAGAGTAGAGAAATGAAAGGCATTGGGTTGGTTGGTATAATGGTACCAACTGAAGGATACCCCATACTAATGTATCTAGTTGCCCATTAGTCGTGTCCTACAGGGAGAAGATAAAGAAGACTGCATGTGAAGGCCCACCTGTGGCATTAAGTGAGAAGAAAGGCCCAAAGGATCAGATAACCCTTGCCTACCTCCCTTGTGCTCAAACCCCACCCCCCACTTCCACAGAGAGGGAAGCTGTAACTTCTAGGCAAAGGGGACTTAACAAGTAGTTAAGTTATTCTACTTGAACCTGAGAAGGCATCTGGCCCCTTAAACACCATGAATGCCCAAACTCTTATGTTCCATCCTGCCCCCTTCCCCCTAGAGCCCCAACTCCCAGCCTCACACACACATACACCACAAGTGGCTCTATTTCCTGGCAGGTAGTCCCTCCGGTCACTGCATGATCACAGGAGCTGCTCTCTGGCCCATCATGATTGCCACCTCAAGCCAGATTGCGAAACGAAGTCACAGGTGAGTCTAGGAGGGCTCTTATGTACGGAATTTTCCCTCCGCAGGCATGGGGGAAGGAATAGACTCCTCAGCCCAGTGTCCATATCATCAGAACTGGGAGCCACACCACTGGTGTTGCTTAGCCATCTAATCATATGGGATGGAAATGGCTTGGCATTATTTGATTTGGAAGGGACTTAAAAGGCAATAATTTCTTCACCAACATCCCCCAAAATGGTCGTTTACTCTTCACTTTAAAATCACAAGTGGGGAGCTCCTTATTTCCAGAGACAGCTCATTCCACTTTTAGGTAACTAATTGTTAAGAAATCTTTCCATGTGTCAAGTCTAAAGTTTTCTCTCTCTCTACACTTTCCAGCCATTGCTCTTAATTTTGATTTCTGTGTCCAGACAGAACAAACCTAATATTTCTTCCATGTCATAGCTATCATGTCTTCCCAAATCAAAATAATTGGGTGCCCACCCTGACCCACTTGTCTTCTTCCTTCTCCAGCCACTGGATGAAGTTGATGCCCAGCCTGGCTTACAGCACATTCCTCTTGGCAGTTGGACTCTCCCGAATCTTCATCCTTGCACATTTCCCCCACCAGGTGCTGGGTGGCCTAATAGCTGGTGAGCCACTGGAGGGTGGGCAGTGACACTTCCCTCAGGGATGACAGACCCAAAGACAGGAAATTCTGACTCCCTGGCCCATCACCCCACCCCACCCCAAACCCTCCCTTGTGCCTTCTCTCCCATGGTTACCCTTGGCCCACCCTAGCCCATCATCTGTCTACCCCAAACCCTCCCTTGTGCCCTGTCTTCCATTGTGATCCTTAGCCTAGGGACTGTCCCTTCAAATTCCTTGAAGCTGTTGCCATGCCCGTTCCCAATAGGTGCTCTCCTGGGATGGCTGATGACTCCACATGTGCCTATTGATCGGCCAGTCAGCTTTTATGGGTTGACTGCACTGGCGCTCCTGCTGGGTGCCAGCCTTATTTACTGGAGCCTCATCTCTCTGGGAATAGACCTGACTTGGTAAGTTCTTGCTCCACCCCACCCCACTGAGGCAGGATGGCACCTTTCCTGGCCCTAGCCATCATCTCTAGCCCATGGGGTCCCCACAATAGCAGTAGACCAGTAGAGAAAATGATTCTGGTATGGCATACAGTCCTGGCTGAGGCTGAAGAGGAGCTTCAGAGGTGCCCCCATCTGAAGCAACTTTTCTACAAGGTTTCTTGGTTTTCCTCAGGTCCGTTCACTTGGCTTCCAAGTGGTGTGAGCGTCCAGAGTGGGTGCACATAGAAACTCGGCCTTTTGCTGGCCTGAGTCGGGATGCTGGAGCTGCCCTGGGCCTGGGCATTGCCTTACACTCACCCTGCTATGCTCAAGTTAGGCGGGCACGGTTGGGGATTCTGCAGCAAGCTGCTTGCCTGTTGTTGGTCCTAGGGCTTTTGGGGCTCCTTAACTGTCTGGGCAACCCACCCCAGCTCAGCCTCTTCTACGTCTTTAACTTTCTCAAGTTTACCCTTTGGCCCTGCCTGGTCACTGCCCTGGTGCCTTGGCTGGTCCTCTCCCTCAGTGTCCAGGAGGCCCCACCTGCCAAATCCAAGTGACCTCACCTTCCCTTTGTCCAACCAACACTCCAGATGACTTCTACCTCCCGCCAAGGAGGCCTCACTTATCACTGCAAGAGACCTCTCCTGTTCAGTGCCCTCTCACCTCTACCCCCAACTGCCATTGTGACTGCTGCTTGCTGCTGCCTAAGATGAAGGCTTCCTTCCATTTGACTCCTCTGGAGACTCTTCTGTGCCCCCAACATGCCTGTCCCACCCCTGATCACTTGAACTTTAGCCTCAGAGAAGGAGGGTATGTCTACCTGGAAGGGGACTGGCCCTGTCAACCTTTCCCTTTCCCCACTTTGTTGAAACCCTACCTTTCCCCCCTATCCCAAAACTTTGTATTTTTTAAAAGCACTGGAAATAAAAGGTACAAAAGAACTTCCAGCACTGTGAGAGGACTATCCACAGAGGTCCCAGAAGTCCAGTGGCAGTTCTGTGCTTTTGTTCTGCATTTGTGAAGTTAGAAAGTGGCCAACCTTAGCCCTTGGTTCTCCTCTTCTACTCCATGTGGAGGGGATAGCTACCTACCCACAGCCAAGCCAGGCAAGTGCTTTGGACTCAGAATGAGTTACCTTCATTTACCCCTTCCCTCCTCTGCCTTTAAAGAATGGGGAAACTAAATTAAATTAAGGACATTCCCCATGGCCATTTAGAGTTAAGCTCATCCATCTTCTTGCTCTTAGAACACTGATAAGGATGGGGGCAAGGGTCTATTCATTCTTGAAGCTCTCTAGAAATGCTCTGACAGCTTTCAACTACCTGACCAAGTCATCTCCCACCCAAAAGATTAAATATCTTTCCTGTCCAATCCTCTTTTCCAAATTCATAGAATTACTGATTCTCAGAGCCATAAGGGAGCAAAGACATCATAGGGTCCAAATATTTCTGAGGCATGGAACCTTTCTATGGCATCCTTTACTAGCTGTGTGACCTTGGGAAAGACACTTAACCCTGTCTACCTCAGTTTACTCTAATGTAAAATGAGGATAATAGCACCTACTTCACAGGGTTGTTGTGAGATTGAATGAGACAATAAAAAGCACTTAGCACCGTGCCCAACACATAGTAGGCACTTAATAAGTGCTTGTTTCCTCCTCCCTGATAGGGTCATCTACCTTCTGCTGGAAAACCTCCAGTGATCAGGAGCTCACTACTTCTGAAGGCAGACCATTGTGCTTTTGAACAGCTCTCATTGTTCTGAATTCTAATCACTGGACCATTGTCCATTGCCATTGCTAATACCCTACTTCATGCCCTTATCACTTTGAGCCTCGACTAACATACAATCTGTCCTCAGTCCATCCTTCATACAGGTACCAAAATAACCTTCCTAATACATATCCCAGCTCAAAAACAGTCTCCCTCTTTGATATGTTCAAAGGATCTGTGATTTTGTCAGTGTGGAGAAATGCCCTCCCACACTGCAGATTATACCCTCAGTTGTACCTACTAGCTGTCAATCAACAAACATTTGTTAATCACCTACTATATGTCCACTGCTAGGTGCTGGGGATGTATATATATATACACGGACACAAAAACGAACAGTCCTGCCCCTGAAGTTTACAATTTAGTCAGGGAGAAGACGTATACATACATGCCATGCACACATGCATATGTATACAGATATATGTGTGTATGTATACGTATGTGTGTGCATTCAAAATAGATACAAAGTGATTTTGAAGGCAAGAAACCAGCAGCTGGGAGGATTGGGAGAGACCTCATGTAGAAGATGATTCTGAGCTGAGAGAAGTGAGGGGGGACCTGCAGGTAAGAGATGGTATTCTCATGTATTAGGACCAGTCTTGTTGGACTTCAGTGTTGTGGAAGGAAAATAATGTTGCTAAGGCTGGAAAGGTCAGGGCAGGCATTAAATAAATGCAGGCATTTATATCTGCTACTGAAGGCAATAGAGAGCCTGTGGAGTTCTCATTTGAGCCTCATAATAACTATACAATGCAAATGCTATTATCTTCATTTCAGATAAAGAAATTGAGGCTGAGAGGTTAAGTGACTTGCCCAGAGTTGTGTAGCTAGCGTCTGAGGCAGAATTTGAATTCAGATCTTACTGATTCTCAGTCTAGCACTCTTACCCACTGTGCCACCTGATTTCATCAGTCAGTAAACATTAAGCACCTACTATGTGCCAGGCACTGAGTTTCATATACAAAACATTGTGGAGATAGAAATGACAAAGGGATGAGACTGAAGAGTTATGGATGACACTGAGGTTGCAAACCTAGGTGACTGGATGAATAGTTGTAACCAATAGAAAGAGACATTCAGAAAGGGTTAAGTTCATGGGGAACAAAGAGTTCATCATGGGGTACAACTGAATTTGTGGCTTCTTTGGGACATCAGGTAAGGAGTTGCTGATGTGGAACTGGAGCTCAGCCAAGAGATTCAGTCTGGATATATAGATCTGGGAGTCATTAGCATGGAAATCATTAAGCCTATAGAAGCTGCCACGGTCACTGGGTTTAGAGAGAAGAGGGCCTAGGACAGACTATTCGGGTACAATTACAGCGAGGGGCCATGTTGTGAAGGAGACCAAGAAACAATCTGATAGGTAGGCAAGCCATGAACAGCCTCACCCAAAGAGGATGAGTATCCAAAGAAGCCACAGTGTTCGAACAGTGTCACATACTTCAGAGAAGTCTTGGATGAGAACTGCAAAAAGATTTGTCACTTTAGAAAAATAACTGATGACTTAGGAGAGAGCAGTTTTAGTTGAGCAATGAGGTTGGAATCCAGATTGTAGAGGGGTTAGAAGATAATGAGAGGAAGAAGTGAAGGCAGTGAGTGAAAACAGCTTTTTCAAGGAATTTGGCTGAGAAAGGGAGAAAAAAATATAGGATGATAGCTTTTGAGGATGTGAAGGGGTTTTTTTTAAAGATCAAGATTTGGACGTGTTGGTAGACAGCAGGGAAGTAACCAGTAAACAGAGGCTGAAGATGGGGGAATGGCGTGGTGATGTTGAGGATGATCTGCTAGAGAAGACCCTCAGATAGGAAAGATAGGATAGGATACATAGAAAGGGATTGACCTTGACAAAGAAAAAGGCCACCTCTTATCAGAAGCTAGAGTAAAGGAAAAGAGTTAAAGGGGGTGTGAAATGAATAGAAGTAAAAAGAAAGCTCAGCCATTTCCCAGCTATTTTCTCAATAAAATGGAGGTCTTCAGCTTGGAAGGTGGGAAGAGGAGGTGGTGTGGAAAAAAATTCATCTGAACAGATGGTGTGGGGAATGGACTAGAGAATCGATTAGGATGGAGTAAAAATATTGCATTGCTGTAGTGTGGGCCCAATCCCCTCCCTCCGGGTGGGTGACTTCCAACTGCATTCAGCAGCATATGAGTAGAAGTAAAGAAGTGGGAGGGTGGAAATGATCCAGACTTGGGGTTTGGCAGGATAAGACAGTGGATTCAAGAGTAGAGGATTGTGTGGAATGGAAATGGTCAGCTACAAGATGGAGAGACTGGGAAGGGAGAAAAGACAGGTGCAAGCAGGGGTAGTTCTTTCAGGCTTCAGAAGGTTAAGTGACTTTTTTAGGGTCACAGGGCTAAAAAAGTATCAGAGGCAGAATTGGACTCAGGCATTTATGGCCCCAAACCCTTGATGACACTCTATAAAGTAAAACATAGACTTCCTAACCTGGAATTTAAAATCTATCATCTGTATTCAGTTTACCTTTGGGGCTATATTTCATGTTATTCCATTTCACAAACTGCTGCAGAGAAAATGGATCACTCACTGTTCTCAGTTCTTGTCTGGCCCTCCCACTACCTTGACTTTATACAGCCTGACTCCCTTCCCTTTAACCTTCCCCAAATCTAACCTATTAACATCCAACCCCTCCCAGAGCCCAGGTCGGATGCCATACTTTTCATGATCCTCCCCAGTAGAACAGGGAAATTTTTGTCTTTGAAACTCGGAGACTGTCCTCATATATTACATACATTATGTCCTCACCCACCACAACTCATTAAGGTAATTTTGTATCCACACATTCCCAGCATCTTGCACAGCGTAGTGGGTCCTCTAAGTGTTTGTCAAATTAAAAAGAACTTTCTAGAGTGTGGCCTATTGGATATTCCTCTACCTCTTCCTCCACCCACATCCTCTCACGTATAAGGCAGCACCCAAGGTCTAGTCCAGCTTCTGCCTAAGCAAGAATTCCCTGCATATCCAGCAAGTGGTCATTTAGACTTTGAAAACAAAATGAGGGGGAACCTACTATCTCCTGAGACAATCTCATCCCACTATTAAATAGTTCATTAGCAACTTCCTTCCCTAGGACAAGCCAAAATCCACTTCTGTGCAGCCTCTGTTCTGTACTCTTAACAGGTAAGCCCCACATCTTTTTCAGAGGGCTACATAACCCACACCTCTCTCTTTTAACCGTTGGCTAACAATTATTCTTCAGGTCCTTCTATTGACTTTTCATGTTCTGATTTCAGTTCAGATTAAACCTTTGCCGTGCTTACTGGGTGCTAAGCCAAGTTTAGGCAAGTGCACAGTCCCCATCATCGTAGCCTTCTCTGTAGACTGTACTGCCTCAACACTCTCCTCTCCTCATTCCTATTTCCTAACCGGGCTTCTTGAGGCAAGACTGCTAACCTCTGTTATCTTAAGAGCTGAGGCTCATACAGCACTAAGGGTGGAAAAGTACTTTACATGTATTATCTTATTTGAGCCTCATGATGGGTTGTGGGGGAGGGGTATCTTGACTTGCACAGAGTGACAAAGGTCATAAGACGCAGCGTTCACTTGGGTTTTTCTTCAAGTCCAGCACTGTATCGTAGAGACATCATGTTTTCACGCAGATGGAAAGAAGGCTTCAACCCTTGTCTGGGGGCCCAGAGAACAAGAGACACAAGCCCCCAGGGGGCACTGCCAGAAACAAGTTTATTTACACAAGGACACACAGTGTAACAGGTTACAAAATACTCAACTGAAATCCATACCCAAAGAGAGAGACAGAGCAGATGTGGGGAAGGTTACATGAGAACTAGACAAGGTGGGGGAAAGGGGAGGAGAACCAGCTTTGGACTCATGGCTCTCCTGCTGGCCATTAAGAAGACCCTGTTACACTTGGTCTAGCCCACCCTCCCCCCAAAGGTAGGGCACAAGCACGAGCACACACACACACACACACACACACACACACACACACACACACACACACACACACAGAGCAAGATGGACCAATGGTTGTAGGGACACATCCTCTTCCCCATTCCAGCCTCACTGTAGGGGTAATAAATATGTAAACAGATTGGGGGGTCCAGGAGGTGGGAGGGGCAAGGGAAAGAAACCCCACCCCCCAGGCACCACTCCCACTCTTTGGTTTCCTCCAGGCTGCAGGGCTTTCCCAGACACC